CCACCGCGGTACTACTCAAACGGCGATTTCAACAACAACAATATAATAACCTGTTTTATTTTTCAATCTGTTTTTCGATTACGTATGTAGGTAAATATCTACGGACTCACGGGCTCTTTCCATTAGGTAATTTTCTGCATTTAAACAAAACGACTCAAAAAAGATACACGTTTTGTGTTATATGTTATACCTTTATATTCCGATGCTTGATAAAGTAAAAGTATAAACCTACTGAACTGAATAGTACATTTTATAATTACATAATTTCTATTTAATCAAAATCTAATAATTATTTTGACGGAATACAATCCTGAGAATATGTTAACTATGCGTTTTGAACTTTCAGCACACTGATCCTGTATTTTCTTTAAGGATACTCGAGCAACCATTTGACGTTGTTTGGACGTCGTCAAGTGCGACTCGTAGTCGGCAGCAAACGTTGTTCATTATTCTAAACTACACAGGAGTTTTCAGAAGAAAAAATGCTGTTGCCTGATAGAATCTCCAATGTAATATTCCATACCAAAAACAAACTAATTTCCGTATAACTGCATTAGTTCATTATTTACTAATCGAACTGAAAATTGTTCACGAAACAAAGTGAATAACAAAATTGCAATGAGCGAACGAAAATTAATGCACGCTGCAATATTCTTTTCCGCAAAGTGCGGCAATCTCAAAATCAATTAAAAACCGAGAGAATTTGAAAGTGCCTTGTCTAAGTCTACCGCTGGTGCAATGGCGGCGGCAATACACAAGTCGGTTGCTTCAGTGCAGGTGTCAGATATTACTTTACAATTTAATTTAAAGAAAAAATGAATTCTGTTGCAAAAGGATTTTACTGGGAGCTAATCTCTTTAATATATGCTATTTAACTTATTTGATTCAATTAAAGTAGCTGCAAAAGTATCTTACTTCAATATGATTTGAACTTAACTTGAATACTTTCTAGTCCTCTATACAAATACATGTTTGTATATTCTGTATCTGTAAGTTTGGGAGGGTGGTATGGTATTCCAACAATGGAAGCGAGTTCGTTGCCTCACGCCATATGCGGGCGCTCTCTAAACCGACTTCTATACTTGGTTCTATTCCAATAGCGCGGACGCGCATCATTGTGGTTAAAACGATCTTCTTGACATAAATATCCAGGGGCGTCAAACATAAAATTACTTCCAAAGCCCTAGTTTGTGTGGTTTTCATTGCACCAGTTATGTTCTTTGAACGGGGTCTAGTTTTCGGCTTATAGTAGTCTGTTCGGTCTTATGTCCCCAGACAATAGTTGGTGATGGTTGTATAGATCCACAACTACCTTGGGGGAGAACTCCGAGGTCTTACCGATAGTACGTCTACACTGTTCATAGGCGATATATGCTTTATGAATTCTCTTAGCAATATGAGAGTTCCACGTTAGTATGCAATCGAGTGTCACTCCCAGATATTTGACCTCGACGGCAAAACTTAGTTCGGTGTTTAAGAGTCTGGGTGATGTCGGAAGTGCCAGTTGCCACTTTCTTGTGAATAGGACCATTTCAGTCTTTTTGGCGTTGATGGACAGAATGTATTCCGTGCACCATCTTTCTATTATTCGAAGAGCATGTTGCATGCGTTCGCAAGGCGAGTTCTCGAATTTACCTCTATGCAAGATGACTTCGTCATCTGCGTAAGCTGTTGTGTAGTTGTCATCTGCGTAAGCTGTTGTGTAGTTGTCGTCTGCGTAAGCTGTTGTGTAGTTGTTATCTGCGTAAGCTGTTGTGTAGTTGTCGTTATTGTTTAGGCGGACAATGAGGCTGTCCAGAACCATGTTCCACAGGAGAGGTGATAGCATTCCTCCCTACGAGCAGCCTCTTGTGACCATTCGTTTAGTGTTGACGTCCTGCACACTTATCTGTATAATTCTTTTCGAAAGCATATTGAATATCCATCCGGTTACAGTTTCTGGTGTATTCCTTTCTGTTAGCGAGTGGCTAATTTTTTGAAAGGTGGTTTTGTCGAAAGCCCCCTCAATGTCGATGAAAACCCCGAGGGCGGACTCTCTGTTGTCCAGCGATTTTTCCACTCGCCCAGCAGCCAGGTGGAGGGCTGTGTTCGTTGATTAGGGTGGAGTGGATTGGTTGACAACACTTCATCCCTTATGTAACTTTCGCATAGCCTCTTCATTGTTTTTAGAAAAAATGATGAGAGCTAGGCTTATGGGGCGATATGCCTTGGGAGTGGTGTAGTATATTCTCCCTGGTTTGGGTAGGAACACCACTTTAACTTCTCTCCAAGCGTTGGGTATGTATCTCAGCGCCAAGGACGCCCTAAACATCCCTACCAGGTACGGCCAGAGTGGCTTCAGACCCCACTGAAGTAGGGCTGGATAGATGCCGTCAGGTCTTGGTGCTTCAAAGGCGGATAAGCCTGAGATTGCCCAACCTATTTTTCCCTCGTTTATTATCTGATTCGTTAGTTGCCAATCAGTCACAGAGGGTATGTATGTTACCTGCATCTGATCCTCCACAACGGTGGTTGTGGAGTCAGGAAAGTGGTTTGCTAGTAGTAACTCTGTGCTTTCTTGAAGGTTGTCAGTGAAGATGCCATCATTCATCATTCTGAAGTCTCGCCGCTTCCGTATAGTTTTCTATTTCGTTGCAGTATGTCCTCCAGGCATCTCTTTGTTTTTGTCGTACGACTTTTTTATACTGGTTGAGTTGGTACCTATAAAGGTTCCAATCCCCAGGTAGTTTGGTGTTTTTAGCCTTATTGAAAACTTTTCTTGTCGTCGCCCTTAAGTGTCCCATTTCCTGGCAGAGGTGTTACCAGAGTTTTGGAACATCCTCAGTGGGCTCGGCATCTTATAGGATTTTATGATAGCACCTTGGATGGTATTGGCATACTGCTCTACTTCTTGGTCATCATTGGGTGTTTTAACTACAACCTCTCGTAGCACCCTTTCCAGTTCTTGCATGTACTATGCAATATTGGTTTTTCTTGGGTCACGATAAGGTCTTGTAGTTTTAGGCGAGCAGTTTAATGTGAATGTTATCCATCGGTGATCCGACATAGAAACTTCATCAGATACCTACGCGCCAATTATGGATTGAATTTGATGTTAGGTCTGACGTACCTGTTTATTCGTCAACTTAGGGGAAAAATAGTCAAACTAACAATGTTGGATGTTAAGCATTTCAGCTATCACTCCATGTTTTCCTGGTTAGTGGTTGTTGTCAAGATCAGTTTATTGCCTTTCCGATCGCAAAATCTCCAATACCTGATGTAAATATTTAGAACTGACATTATCTATTTTTGTTCTTATGCATTTCTTTTTGAATCATCATTTTTCATGCACATGGTTTTGTTGTTATCGAATTTCTTCTACTCATTCTATGATTGCTTGCTCTAGATTGTAGATTGTATTTGGAGTCGTTCGTTACAGCTTGTTCCAGCCGCCAAGCACTGCTACGTTTCGACATATTTTGTGCGTGACTCTGCTCTAGTTGGTGTCCAAGATTTGTAGGTTTCTCCCAAAAGATGCCAGCGTACTGGGTGTTAAAGTCTCCACCTCTTGGGGTGTTAGCCGTACCCCTTCAAGGTATTTCAGTCTTTTGCAGAAGTGATTAGGGCATCCACAAATTAGATGTTCTGAGTTTCTGTTGCTTGTTCGCAAGATCTACAGTGATCGTCGTAGATGATATTTCAACAAGCAACGCCCAGTGAGCAGACCAACGACTGTTCTAATGTCTCTTCATGTCAAGAAGTTGTTCAGATCTCTTTGCTGAGATTGATATGAATCTTTTTGCCTGTCTCGGACTCTGAATGGATGTCCAGTGAGCTAGCATTCTGCTCCTCTCCCATCTCTCATTTTTTCGGAGACGCGTGGCTTTTCATAAATCCACAAAAAGACTTTGTGCCTGGAGGAGTAGAAGGCCCTTGCGTTGCCTCCTCATTGTCCTCTATGCCCTAGTGTCCTGGCCCACACATCAGGGTTACTTTGTTTATCCCAAGTTACTTGAGAATATTTTTACCCTCTCAAACTAGCTGCGAATTGCACTTGATGGCTCCTAGAGATTCGAGAACCACTTGACTGTCAGACAGTAAGTAAATGTGCTCTATGCCTTCTTCTAGAGTTTTTTGTATTATTGTATCGATTTTTTCATATTCTGTTGTATTACTTCATGCTTCTAAAAGTTGTCTTGTTTGTCATTTATTTCCGATTCTTCTTTCATGCTTTTTTCTCTTTCTCGAGTACCTAAGCTGTGAAATTAGCTCTTAAGAACTTTGTGATTCCTGCGGTGAATCCTTTAATAACTGAGATATTTTCAAAGATGTATTTACTTTTGCATAAAGAAAGTACCTAGGTACTCATTTTTTGTCATATTGTCTGGTAATATTCAAATTCATTTCACATGCTTAGTCTTAGCCACCGTATGATTTTCAGCTTCAGGAATTAGGAAAATTGAAGGAAGAACTATAAGAAATGTGATATCGATTTCTTTGTGTGAATTTTCTGATAAAATAAATTCTTCGATAACACCTCCTATTGAGAGAATATTCTTATAGTCGGAAAAGAAAATGTTTACTCATATCGTTTTCACGAAACCGCATTTTCTTATAAACAACAATATTTACTCGGCAAAGATATCAAAACGCGGTTTGCGGCAAATTAAGCTTATTATAATGTTCTTTAAGTATAATACGACTTTAAACTCAAATGAAATAATGAAAGTGCAAAGCTCTTTTGAAATGAGGTAGGAATCGCTCTGCTCTACTTTTTGTTTAATCTTCTCAATTGAGTTTTAACAGCCATTTTTATGTCGAAAAGTAGCAAACGAGCTCCTATTAGTATAGGATCCAAATTTCATTAAAAAAAAATAGAGAAGATGATAAAAATGCAGAGACTTTCACCACCAATGTCTCTTATAAAACTCCCAAAATCACTTAATAAAGGACGAAAAGAAGCTGGTCCTTGGAAATTGGATGACTCAGTCAATTTTAATTATTATCCAATCTGGATTTGTAGCTTAACTTATTTACTTAAATGAAACACAAAATGGATAAATTTTTTTAGACACTTTTATTGATTTTTATAGTTTTCACATTTAAATATTTGTTTAAATCATACCTGGGGGCTTCGCGGGAACAATAAAAATATACAGATCAAGCCCCGCCAAATAGTTTTATACAACCTTTCTCAATCAAAATAGATATTTCGTTTAATATACGTTATTTTAATCTCTATATTGTTTATTTTATTTATTTATTTTTTTAATTAACGGCGAATCTTGAATTACATTATTTTCATATTTATGTATGTGGTAGGTACTTATTAATCTAAAAATCACGTTCTAAAATATAGATATTATGTTGAAATGTGGATTTAAGTTTTGTGTGAAAGTTTAACATTTAAACTTCAGATTGTTAAATGTATCTTTCTATAATTACTTATTATAAAAATATATTTACAAAAAGCTGCTAAGTAACACAAATAATATTAAATAATTTTAGGCGGCTCTTTAATAATACATCTTTCTAAAAATAAAATATTATTATTTTTTTATTTTTTTTGTACATTTTGATTTTGGCAAGCATGTATGAATAGGTATCTCTCTTTTTGTAAAAATATATCTCTCTAAAATAAGAAAAATATGTAAAATGCTCCATAGTTCGTTTATTTAAAATTGTTTTGTGATGGCACACTATTTTCAATTATTGGAAATCTTTATAAACAATAAGATCCACCGTTTTTTTTTTTTTTTTGGTAACTGTATTAATAATTATATTGTAAACAACGAGAAGAAAACGATATTACAAGGCAAGTATTTTCATCCAAATTGAATTTTATAAATTTCTACCTTGTATCATCCATTGGAATGAATGGTTTGAGGTTTGACAAAGTGCAAATTATAAAATCTTTCAAACCAACCTCCAAAAACAATTTTTTGTTATATTTACCAAACATTTCAAATGCACATCCAATCCCATGTAAGTTTCATCAAGAAAAAATATATCAACTTACATATCCGCGAGGCCGCGCGCTTTATTTTTGTTTTATTATGTCTACAACTACAAAATAAATATCCTACAATAATAGAATAGACATAATAAGTAAATTGAATAATCAATAATAAGATGCTAATGTAGTAGTTAATTTATTTATTATTTAGGTATATACCATTTCTATTTTATTTAGAACCTACAAACTATGGGTACTTGTAAACTGCACAAAAAAAAGTCAGCGACAATGGTACTTAATTTAATTTTCTCATCAATAAAGAGTGTTTCGCAACTCAGTTTTGTTTTAACAGTGTAATATACACAACGAATTATTATATTTTATTAATTAAATATATATATATATATTTTTTTTTTTGATTTGCCTAATATGTACATGAGACACCAGAGTATAGAGCATATTTTATTAACCATTGCTTAATTTTCACTGATTTTTGGTGGTGATACGTAGACTTGTTATCATTTATTTGACAGCATAATAAAGAACATAGCAAACAGAAATGTATGTCTTAGCAAACATTGTTTGTTTCATCATTAAATTTTAGCTCTTTTAAAAATCTAGGTTTTAAAATATGCTCATACCATATGTACTGTATGTATATTGGGTGGCTCAAAGTTTAACTTGTTTGAGAGATTTAGGCTAAACGAGAAACTAGGAGTTTTTTTTTTGAGATATGCTCCTTGAAATGCAATAAAATTCTTTTCCCTGTATAAACTTAAGAACGCCCCAACGACAGTGACTTAGTGACACTCCTACTCCTAAAATCAAATTTTTTTTGTCAACATTGAGCGAAACATAACACAAAGGTGGTTCCAATAGTTGATACAGTTCAGCAGAAGCTTTAGCTAAAGGAATTTTTATTGGCTTATAATTTTATCGACTCGCAATGTTATGAAACATTTTCACAGGGCTATCAAAGTTTTGCAATTTTGACACAAATAAAACATCCCTAAACTTCGTAGTAGAAATTACCCTTGAAACTGGGTTAGTTTTTGCCAAAATCAAATTTTACTAGGCCTGAATGATGTTCTGGGCTGACATTTTTTCTTGGGCCCTATTACAAAAATCGTCCAAAAATCAAAATTTTGCTTTAGGCTTTAAAAATGAGCAAAACAAATAGTTATTTGAATTAATTTTGGAATATTCAAGTTAAAATTACTTTGGCAGCAATGTACTAATTTTCCATAAACTTTAGCTCCTTTGACTCCCAATTTTGCTGTACTATTAACGGATAAAAACCTACAACTTTTGGAACCACCCCTAATAGAAAATAAAATCGAGACCTCTATCAGTCTCGACTCTAAAAAAGAGAATCTCAAATACACAACCAATCAATATTTGTGTTTCACAGCCTTACATTAACATACAGGCAAGTCAGCATTTCATGAATTTATATTTTTTTCGACCAACTAAAATATTAGAATGATGCCAACTCCGCCTTAAACAAGTAGGGCTGTAACAATTATTAAGTCTAGCAAAAATTCATTGTCACAGTTTTTTGTATTTCGTCTGATTGTTCATGTTTTATTTTTTACAGAAGCTAGAATGGCCATGTTTTCAAAAAATATTAGAGCTTTCGAGCATTCAAATCAGCTTTTCAATTTAGGTTTTCCCTTGTTGCAAAAGGAAAAATCGGAAGCTGAAAAACTGAAATAGTTCAAAAAAAGCTTTGTGAAACATATTTTCATAAATAAAATGTATTATTTCTGCATATATTGGAATGAAATATGCGTTTACATTAAATGTGATGTCATAAACTACCATCTAACGTTTTTTTGGAGCATGAAAGTTTTCAACCTCTCAGTCGTTTGTTCTATATTCAAATAATGAGGAATGTTTTTGTTTTCTACAAGACACATTTATAATGCGCTTCCTAATTTTTATCACCGGTCGTTTATTTCATTTAATAATTTTTTTAAACTGAAATTAAATAATTATTTTTTTTGTGTTTTTTATATTTTTCTTGCTGGCGGATTTTTGTGACGAACGGATGGACTTTTCTTTGGTTAAAATGCTACAAGAGGGTTGAGATCAAATTTATTTATACACATAACAAAATCATATTGGTAACTTGTATTGAAAAAAAATTAAAAAAATCCCCTGTTTTCATATCAAACTATATATTTTTGTTGTTCAATTAAACCATATAATTTAGGGGATTATTAATCTTTTATCAAACTAAGCCCTCATCATAGACAGCATTTCAACAAAGATTTTACCTCGAAACAATATCCATCCACTCGTCATAATAATTCGTTTCCGATCGCAAGTTAACGTTTTTTTTTTTACCGATTTTAATCGAACATTTACGATGATTCAAGATCAGGTCACGTGCTGCAGCACGTCATCATAAACGTGGATGGGCACGGGCAGCCGCAGTACTGGCAGGGCTGCGCAGCTATCGTTATTGGGGCGTAGAGGCACCCATTGGCGAATACCAATTGAGGTGCTTGAGGAGGTGCTGTGGCTGCTGTTGCCATCATACGTTGTTGCTGTTGCTGCTGCTGTTGTTGCTGCTGATGGGTTTGGTCTTGGTAGAGAACCTGAAACAAAATAAGTGATTCTAGAATATCTATCAAACATTGAATAAATAGTTAATAAAAAATGAAGCTTCCGGTACAAATCAATTGGTTATCTTTCTTTGGAAACAATCCAAAACCAGTCTTGTGTGTTTTGGCTTGATGTATTCCACCTATATTATAGCGCATAACTTCCTCTTATTTAGACTTTCCAATACGAGCATCAAATACAGCTTTAGCAATGCCAGCAGCCCCACCAGATAAGGCTCCAAGGGCGCTGAGTCCAGCAAAGAGAGGTTCGAGTAGAATAATCCCTGCCATTTTTGGTAAGTACTCGGGTAACGCAAGAAGTTTCAATTTTCTTTCGACCAATAGCCTGTCTAATCATTTTGTGAGCTGCTTGAAGTGCCGACACAACTAATTAAATGGGGGAGAGAAGCTACGCTGAGTTATTAAAAATACTTCTACCACTTCTATATACCACAGAAATATTCAAGAGTGGAGATAGTTTGTTCGTTCAACAACCTATGGAGGAACTGATGCCATATCTGTCACCTGTCATAAGTCAGTTAGCTGTCCTGTCAATCAGTCATCTGTCATCCATCATTCACGCTCAATGAATTCTTTCGCACCTCCTATCAATAATATTCCGTACTTGCTCTCGTCCGTCATTCGCGCTAAATCATGCTGTTATACATACATCCAACGGAAAAATTTGTGCTGGTAACGAATGTTCAACTTCCAGAAATATAAGTAAATAATCAACCCAATGGGCAGATGATACAAATCATAATGAGGGGCGACAGATAACGTCAGCTTCTCCAGAGGACGGAAGTTAGTGGACGAACAAACTTAGCTCTCTACTTTCAAGAAAGACAATAAACATTACAATACAGACGTACCTATAGCATTAATATTCTACCTATTATCCGTTCACAATCCGATGACCACTGGTACCGGTAAAATTTATCACCTTTCAATGCTATTTGATAGGGAAAGGTAATAAATGTACCTGCACCTGTGGACATCGGATTGTGAACAGGATATACGTACATACAGCTACTCACTGAAATAATCAATTCAAGAGAATATTATGTTGAGGAATTAAGGGCCTAGAAACACACTCCCCAGTAGGTAAGTTGCGGTTGCAGGTAGTAACCCTCAAGGGTACATGCCTAAAGTTCCTGTGTGACTGATGACCGTGGTTTAGAAGCGCTCCAGGGGTGGGGAGGAATAAGTTCCAGCCCCACGTCAAACTCAAGATCTCAAAATGGAGAGGACGAAAACTGGAAAGGTGGAAGAGCATCAACGTGGATACAAATGGAGTCAAAAATGTCGTAACCTGTCGGGGTCGTCCTCCATCAAATCCAGAATCTAAGCTGTGCAGAATCAGTCACTATATTTAACTTGCAATGAGTTCGGAATGGCCTTAGACATTGATAATCTCTTTGGCAAGTTGCAGGATGGACCTTCATAACATAACACTAATCAGCGCCCTTTACCAAGATGCTACCAGTCAAATGCTCGATGGGATACTAACATACCATCTACCATCCTATACAAATTGTTGTCTGAAATGGAAGAAGCTTGGTATCAATTTAACAGAGAACCTGACACTTGTAGATGAAATTGAGCATATCTCAGATAATTTAGAAGGTAGCAAAGTGATGATTAATGATGTAAGAAGTAGGTGATGAAGAACTTGGGATTACCTATTCAACAGGAAGCTGGAATGGTTCTTCCGCCAGCTTCCCAACAAAATTAATAAATCAGATCGTCGATTTGGGGATCATTACTGCAGATCTACCAGGTGCAGCTGAGAACAAGACATTAGGAAGCTGTCGAAAGTTAGAACAAGTAGCGGACCGAAATTTCATCAATAGAATTAGAGCTAATTAGGGACGGCTGGCTGTTCAGAGAATGCTGCTCATAACGAAGTCATGAAGAAGCTTACGAAGTTGCAATGATCCAATCCAAATCAAAGATTAGAACAATGTCAATACGAGAAGAAAAATAACCAATAAGAGACATCGAAGATATTGAACAATACGAAATATGAAAAATTGTTAGCAGAATCAATCAAGGAAAGTTGAAAGAAGGCATAGAATGCCCGATGCGGAAGAAGAGGACATTTTAAAGGTGACTGTAAAGTACGTCTAAGATCTGTGACTTTGCTGAAGAAGTTCCAACAACAGGATTTCGAAATCAAACATCGTTTTGGTAAACTACATTATCTAGGCGACTATGTCCAATTCCATGGAAACATTTTCACAGAAAAAATTCCTGTTAGAAGCCTTCGATTTGACACGGATCAAGGGTGTAACTTTCTCACACAGCTTCAGGGATCTTAAGCTGGGATTTAATATGAGTACATCTTTTGCATATTATAATAATCATTATAAATTGAAACTGCATAATTGTGTCAATGCAATTTTGTCAAAGTTACAACTATGGATTTTAACTCAAGACTTATAGACCAACAAATACCTGGAATCTACAAACATTATTAGCAACATTCAATGTGGATTTCGTTAACATAGGTCTGGCCATTTCATGATGTGGCATGAGAACCTCTGTAACCAATTGGGCTTTAATGGCTTTTCATTGAATCTCATTAGATGGCTCAGCAACTTTCTCGAAAGGCCGATCGATCCAGGTCCATGGACACACCTCAGAGAGGTTCAAAACTAACGCCGGGGTTCCACGACTAAGACTCAGGCTGATGGTTTTACAAAGAAAGCTGTCACTGCAGCTCCAGACTTTACCATGTCTAGGTTTACTTTGCCCTTGAAGCTTGTAAAATTCAGTTTTCACGACAACTTGAGACCAAAATACTTCAAACATTCGAAAGCACCAAAATGAAAATTAAAAACTTTGAATGCTTTAAAATTTAGTTATTTATGATTTTAATGAGAGGAGTGTTATGTAAGGTCTGTTCCAACCCGACATGAGAACCGTTCTAGAACGGAAATTTCCAGTTGCCCACCTATTTTTCAATAAGTTGGACGTTTATCCTAATTGACAAATGAATTGATCGACTGGAAATTACCATTCTAGAACGGTTCTCATGTCAGTTGGAATAGACCTATAAAGTCTGTTTAGCACTTAGGATTTAGGACCAAAGATTTTAGGTTTTTGATAAGACGCTTCTGAAGATTCTAAAGCACCCAAAAACCTAGACTTCAAAGACTTTTCTGAGGCTTGAGTATTCTGAATTCAAAAAGGCTCAAAAATTTGCTAAACCCTGAAAGTTTCAAGTCGATCTGATACTCCCAAGTATTTTTTAGGATTTTACAAAGATGAACATGAAACTGGTATCAAGCTGGGAAAAACATCATAATTTTGTGTCTGAGCCTCACAATGACTTCAAATTTGCCTTGTTTGATAAAAAGATCCTATTTAATAAATTCTGAAAGTTTCAAGTCGATCTGATACTCCCAAGTAATTTTCAGGATTTTTCAAAGGTGATTTACAATGAATTTTACCAGATTTTTTGGTATCATGTTGAAAAAAACCTTATAATTTTATTCCTGAGCTTCAAATCGACTTCAAATTTGCCTTGTTTGATTAAAAGATCCTAATTGATGAATCCTGGAAATCTCAAGTCAATCTGATTTCTCTAAGTATTTTTTCAGGATTTTTCAAACATTATTGTATAACATGGAATTGGTAGGTATCAAGCTGGAAAAAACATCATAATTTTGTTTCTGAGCCACAAATTGACTTCAAATTTGGCTTGTTTGATGAAAAGATCCTGGATAGGTAGTCACGTCAATTCATGGGAAGAACCGCGCAGGAAGACTTTGTTTGATCGGTTTAGAGATGTTAAGCATGTGAACAGTTTTGAGAGGGAATGAGGGTGGCAGTATGGAAAAATAACACTGGTGTGCAGAGAATCCTATGCCACTGGTAGGACCCGATCGCGAATATTCAAGAATTCGTTCTATAGGGATTTCTAGAATAAATGGTTTTCTTTATAAAGCGCAAAGTTTATCAGTCAGTTCATCAGTTTGAATATAAACTTAAGTAAAAACGAGTAAGTATTTAATGGATTTTGTGAAGACAATGAGTTCAATAATCCATTACTAGTGAAGGGAATTTTTTGTGAATTTCCATGGACAGAGAAATTGAAGTGGTATTGCTCGTTGAACAAATCTGAAGCTAGTGAATGGTTGCCAAAATGCAGGAAGGATACAGATCACGTCATGTTGCAGTATTCAAATTATCTAGTTTAAATGATAATACATACAGGGTGTCGGTGACAATTTGAAAAGTAGCAATCGGGAATATCTATCAGGAAGATCTCAAATACGTATCGGGGGATTAGAGGGGGAACCAAAATGAGGCACTTTTTGATTCACCTCGCCTCACCTCTTAGGGGGAAGGTACCCTAACTTATTTTTTTCAAATACGAACCTACGAATCCCTACCCCTCCTGTCTTGCAGGCTTGCTACCCTAATGATTTTTCTAAAATGAGAAACTACCCCGTGTGATACCTCCTTCGAAAGGTTTTTTATTCCTCGACTATTTTATTTCAGTTACAATACATAACATGAGCACTTTTTTGTCCAAAACTTGAAACTCGATTTTCTCGAAATCCCTAAACGATACAGAGTAAAGTAAAGTACTACTACTACTACTACTCAAAGATAGTCAAAATTACTAGTTTTAAAAATGTGCTTACTTTTGAACAACGATATCTCGAAAACTAATCGTACAATTTAAGATTTTGCTATAAGACTGTAAAGGGAAAGCAACGAGCTATCTAACAATGTATAACACAAGGTAAGTTCTTATTTGAAAGAAATACGTTAGGGTAGCTACACCCTAAGGAGGGAGGCGGGGTGACTCAAAAAGTGCTTCATTTTGGTTCCCCCTCCAATCTCCCGATACGTATTTGAGATGATAGTATTTTTTGTCTAAGAGATATTCCCGATTGCTACTTTTCAAATTGCCACCCTGTATAAGAAGTACATAGTAGGTACAGTTGCTATGTGAAAAAAATGCGTTACCTATTTGAAAAAATATATAGGTACTTTTGCATTGTTTTATTTTTCAATGGGCACTCATAAGTGTGCTCAAATTCGGTTAATGATTATCTTTTGAATTGTCCTAGTCATCATTATTGTTACACATTGCACAATAAAAATCATAATTTGTTATCAATTAAATATATGTAAAAATATCGATTAAACAAAACTCGCTGAATTATTTATCTGCATCATTTAATATACATAATAATATATAGATAAAATTATTATCGGGGATAGCAAAAATTATTTATTTCGCCAATTTCTGGCGCAAGCAAATTATAATTCCTCACATATTTTAATTTGTGCAAGATATCAAATTAAAAGGTCACACATTGCCGCTTTTATAAATAGCTTGTGATGGTAAGTAATTTAGTTTTAGTAACGACTCACAATTGAATAGCTTCGCAAATTTTCATTTTTTTTTTTAACAAATCATTTGCCATAGTTGTGCAATTACTTGAATAACTAACTATGTATTACATAATTCAAATAGAATTAACAATATAGAAGATTTATGATTTACATTTGAAAAATCGATTTCGTTATGCATCAGATTTCCTAAAGTTAAACATGTATAGTGTCATATGCAAAAATCGCAATGAAAATAATTCTTACCTGCCATGCCAGGCTCCTGATGAGCTGCAGCGTTTGTCTGCGTTCGTGGCCCATCAGGCATACTGTGCTCTGAGCGACCACGTCATGAAGGAGCAAAAGGAAACGGTGCCTGGACGATGATTCTTCAGTTCCAGTACCGAAATGGTTCCACAGGTACGTTTCTAGTTTTATTCGTTGTTGTCCAACGTCTGAGAAGTCGATGAAAAAGCGCGAACACATGTATCTGGAAAGAAGAAGATTTTTTTATAGTATTCAGCTTTTGCTTTCACTTTGTTAAACATTTGCAGCCCGAATAAGTAGTATTAGTAGCAGAAAGATAATCAATTTTAATTTAAGTTTTTGGCAGTTTTGCTCCAAAGCAACAACAATACAAAGTATGCTTTCAATTGATGAATAAGTTGATTTGCAAGGAACGGTCTCAAATCTGCAAATAAAAGGACGACGTCGCCTAATGACGCAATCCCTTTCAATTGGATCAAATAATCTCCTCGGCTTCTGTTGTAATACGCTTCCATTGCGACTTTTCACTGTGACAGTCTATTTTTGGGTTTTGCGACTTGGTTAACTAAGAAACCGGGCTTTATTTTCCAGAAAGAGATTTCCTGATAACTAGTACTTTTTGTTTCATAAAGGAAAGGCACAGTCGCAATTTGTTTGTTGTAAACAACATTATTACAATTAGCCTAGCCTGGGTTAACTGTGACTCCTGACCATGTTTACGCGACGTAATTTTCTAATACAACAAACAAATGCTTATTTCATGATTAATTTATAATGTTTTGAAGAATGGGAATCTTTCTCAATGATCCGACCTTGAGAAATCTATGAAAACGGGAATAATAGATAGTTATATAAACTGTTTCTGACTCAGACAAAATTACATCAATGGGTAATAAATAATGAATAAACTATTTTTATTCATTTATTTAATTCATTTAGATAAAATACTCGAATAGTTACTTATTCCTCCTGTTTGGTAGATGTGATCGAACCTGGCCACTTACCGATTGGCATTGACCTTTATAGAAAAAATGGCGCTCCTTTCGACTGGTAAGTAACCTTTACTCAACAGAAAGTCTGCCCCTCCCTTCCCAACCCAATGATCAGGTCAGGCTAGCAAAAAACCGATTATTCTTGTCATCTGTGCGGGTTTTGTGTCAATGAGATGCATTCCAATGATGCGATAATCTTTCGTAATCTCTACAAGTTTTTTTTTTGTTCTATTTTTAGCCTTCAGGCTCATAGATTTTGGAGATCAAGATTTTAATTACAATAAATCTTGTCACAGTACAAGTTGTTAAATTGAGATTACTTTTTAGTTTCATTTGCGTCGTTTTAAAAACAAGTCAACTAGTTTTATTAAATCGCAAAGGAAGATAAAATCTAATCAAGCGAAGCCGTTTAAAATTTCATTTTCTCTAAACTTTTCAGGTTTGCAAGGCTGCTCCAAGTGTTCAACCCGCTGGGGATTCGTAGAGGCAACAGTCGCGTTGGGTAAATTTAATGAAAATGCTAAAGTTCTATATTTGCTCTTTTAGAAAAACTTTTAGCTACGATTGTTGTGTAAGCAACATAAGATTTGTTTTGTAAACTAAAACTCTTACCTTTCTAATGATCTGATATAATCTGGATGCGCCGGCCGATAATTTTTCACTAACAGATTGCAATACTTCAATAAGCCGCCGCCTCGTATTTCTTCAGGCCGCCTCGTCGATATCAAACGTTTCTGTAAGTGACGTAAGGCCTCTCGGAAATCTCCAAATACCGATTCGCCTACTACGGAAGGATAGAAATTTTCGCTGATAGGAGGCGCCCTGCCTCCTTCCTGCTCGTCGCCGGTATTGCAACGATAAAACAACAGCAGAGAGTCGAGGACTATTTGGAACGAGTCCACGCTGAACTCGAATTGTCGTCTCATGCGATCCACGAATTTTAGTTCGACTCCTCTGCCACGCTGGCAACCTAAGGAGATTAGCGACCACCGGTCACCGGAATCCGTTGGATTGTTTACCTAAAACAATAAGGATTAATTAGCTTTTAGGAAATGAAACAAACTATTACTATTACTATTACTATCTAGTCGATAATGGACTGAGGTGAGACCTATAAGCCCATTTTTGGACTGTTACTTATCCAATTGGTTTAAAACTGTTAGTTTTTAAGTGTTTATTTTGGTTAAAGCACTATGGGAACTGATTATGAAGTTTTGTCTTGAATACTGACGCTGAAGTAGCACTAACTGTTTCAGCTGGGAGTTGATTCCAAGAGCAAATAAGACTCTGGAGACTGAGGAGTATAGTTTTCTTTTTTAAGTTTGAGACTGTGATCCCGCGGAGTGTTTGGTCTATGTTCAAGGCATAGAGGTGTCTAACAATTCGAATGTTGTTGTAGAATGTTTGGTAGGTGAAGATAAGATCTCCTATTCTTCTATTTTGGAAGCTCAGCAGTTTTTGTTATTCTTGTCTTTCCCCATATGTAGGTCTTCTTCTACCAAGCTGCAGCAATCATAATGCTCCTCTCTGTAGAGCAGTTCAAGTCTCTAATGAGGTCTGGATGCCAAGCCTGACTTGGATATACTAAGATTGGCCTGCAGTAGGTTATGTTGTACAGTTTTGTATACACTTCTTGGGGGCTTTCTGAGTAATAACTTGCTGTTGACTTTTCTGCATATTGTTGTTACATGTGCTGACCAAGTCAAGTCTTTGGTTATCAAAACTCCAAGGTCGTTGTGTTGTTGAACACTGACCAGAACTGACCCATTAATGGTGTATTTATTCTATAGGCTATTTTTCCCAAGATGAAGAACCACACATTTTTTTACATTAGGGGGTAGTTGCCACTTGCCAGTCCTCACACCACTCCTCAATTTGGTTTAAATCATTCTGGAGCGAGTCAAAATTGTTGGATATTATAAGGTTGAGGATATCTCTAGTATAAGTTAGAAACAACAGAGGTACAAGTACCAAGCCTTGGGGTACGCCACTTTGTACTGGATAGAGTTCAGAGTATGACTTCGTACTCCCTGTTTGTAAGATAGTCTTTGCTGGTTCAAAGCAGTAAATCCCCCCTCACACTAAAATGATCTGGTTTTAGCAGAAGCCCCTTGCTTGAGACTCGGTCGAATGCTTTGGCAAAATCCAAGTATATGACATCAATAGGAGTTTTTTGATCTTATGATTTTGTCGAGGGGTAAACCATAAGTGGAAATCATTGTACATTTTTTTGGAAATCACATAGTAATCAATCAGGAATACATGGAAATCACTTGGGGGAGTCCCTGGGAATCGCTAGGAATCTCCTAGGACTCCATGGAAATCACATAGGAATCCATTGACAATCGCTGAGAATCATGTGGTGATCGCTGGGAATATCATCCGATTCTAACCCAGAAATCGCATATCATCAAACATTTTAAACACTACAGCGTACCGCTCAGTTGTGTATTTGCCTTCAAGACTAAGTTTTAGGCAACATTAAGTGCTAGACAATTTGAAATGTATGTAATGTCCCAACGAGTTTCCCAATAACTGAACCGAGACTACGAAAAATTTAGAACTTGAAGAAGAAGAAGAACGAGTAAAGATTAGGTCTGTTCTCACAAAAATCACAAACCATTCAGAGCGTTTTTGATTGGTGCAAATCGCCAACAACCAGTTTTCTGACTATTTTCAACCAATGAAATTCGCCCTGACTGGTTTGTGATTTCTGTGATAACAGACCTAAAGTATGACAATGTTGTAGATTATAAAACTGAAATCATGAATCTTGAAATATCTCTCGAATCCAACTTGCCAAAAGAAGACACAGAATTTCTTCACACATCAGGGTTTAGCAATTGCGATTCGCTACAATTAAGAGATTATTCAGGGCTCAACTCCAATTTGGTTCTTTTTAGAGAAGCAGGGACGCTTGTCGATCCAGTATCAAGAGCTATGGGAATTTTCCTGAGAAAGACACAAAAGGAAAAGTCGGGAATCCAAGGCAATAAGAACGTGAAAAGGGAAAGTAGAATAAATACTAGGCAGGACGAGAAGCATAGGCGATAGCACATCTGAAACAAAATCAGAAATAAGTTTGTCGAGTGAAACCCTAACTGAAGATGCCTCTGATCTAGATGTAGTCTAGGAGGCAGTGACGATTTTCGGTACTTATTTTCCCAGTCAGACAACATGGATAGAATTGAAGGGTGTCACAATTCTTGGGATGGGAATACATAAGATTCATTGATCAATGATTGCCAAATATGGAAATCATTGTACATTTGTAAGCATAGGAGTTGACCCCTCCTCGGATTTTGTCCAGTTGTTAAGACAGTCAAGAAAGCAAGTTGTGGTAATGTTGAGCATTGCAACAATGATAACTGATTATTTGACATGAATGCAGAACAATGTTCGAAGCAAACAGTGGATTTTGAAACATATTCATGCAACATTTTGCATCCTCTTACTAAGTTTAGTTACGAGAATTCCACGGCAGAAAGATAAAGATAATCCAAAAAATCTCCTTATAAAACTGAAGGAGGAAAAACTGCTGGAAAACTATAATCCTTGATTAGTTCGAAACAAGAATAAGCAGCTGAGAATATTTTGGTTTTTTCAATCCGTCAGTAGCTGTGACACGACATCTTCAAAAAACAAGATGCCAATTCAAAAGACATTGCAGAGCGCATTAGGGATACCAAAAAAGGAAACTAACAAAAAGCCAAAAGATAATAGGTCTGTTCTCACAAGAGTCTGTGAGAGTTTGCAAACTGTCAGTAAGCATCGCTCATACATGTTTTCAATACCGCCATTCCAAGGTAAATCGCTAACTTAGCTGAGCGATTTTTTCTAACAGGTTGCAAACTGTCAGAGATTTTTGTGAGAACAGACCTAATATTCAAAAGACTGCAAACTGGAAACTTGTTATATAACTGGCTCAACATAAAACAGAAACTCGCCTCGCATCGAGAAGAAAAACTAAGATGAGAATCAATTTAAGCCCAAATAGACAAGTGATGAGATGAAGGCAAGGACGTCAACAAAAACCGATTCAGATAATAGGAAAGTAGAAAAACCTAACATTTTAATTGTGGAAAAAGATCTTCCTGGGAATTCATAATCTAACAGATTAAGGACCTCATTTACGGAGAATGATAAACCCTTGATAGCAGAATAAGTATGATAATGAAAAATTTAAAAAGATAACAAAGAAGAAGATACTAATACAAAAGTGTGAATTGAAGATAATCACTCACTAGAGATACATTTGAAAATGGATAAAACCATGCTCAATCAATAAGTTATGATAATTACCTTGACCATCTTGCTGACGTAAGCTTCTTTTAGACTGCAAGTGGATATTCGTTTGCGACTGACTCCATCCGGCAGCATGTCATACAGCGAACTCAGAACCGCGGCTTTGACCTTGTCGAAGTTCCTGGGCGAGCTCAGTTCAACCCCAAAAATGAGGTCTACGTCATTATATGGCTGGTCTTGACCTAGAATAGAAGGAATTCTAAGAGTGGCATTCAGTCTATGTAAGGAAAATTGTTCTATAGCAAAGAGTTGAATATTGAATTTAATAAAATTAGCTACGTTTTGAATAAAACTGAAAAATCGCATTGAAAATGAAGAAAAAAGAAAAACAAATATAAAAAATAAATTGGAATGAAAACAAAATTGCTAAAATCAGAAAAATATATAGAAAGACGCTCAAAGCCATGGCGGGATTATTTGCAAAGGATGGCTGGATCCATACTGCTAACTAGAAAACTTGTGGAAGCTATTGAAAGAGGCCTATATATCCAGAAGTTAGTAAATGATGGTTGATGTTATAGCATTACTTTTCACAGACCACATACTCGATGACATATTCGTTTCCTTCAACTATTTGCTATATCACAATTTTTTGTTAATGAGTAAGTAATTTTACAGGGAATACTCACACTCACCAGCAGCCAAAACATGTGAAGCGGCTCCGCCGTTGAGTCGTATGTCGCGAACACGCATGCCAGCGCCACCAGCTGTTGGATCACCTTCTAATTTCGCTCTGACTATATCAACCAAATCCCGCAATCTTACTTCGAGTGTGGGAAAATTACCTCTACCAACGATGGATACCTGCAGGACAATAACAATGATTGAGCATTAGTTTAACTTCAAAGCAAAAATACTTACAGTTTCTTCCATGACATCATTCAATTTGCAAATTTGCTCGTATGACAATACAGCTAGTCTGGCTTGAGTATCTTCGTCGAAACTGTTTTCTTTGCTTTGCGGGGAGCCTCTGAAGGAGTGCGAGCTCCCCAGTTCCACATCTTCGTCGTCTGTTTCTTGGCCCAAGTCGCACTGGAACAAAAAACGAAAAATATATAATTTGATCCTACTTTGTAAAACTAACATACAATTGAATTGCCATTGATACCCGTATGATGAGGGCATCAATAATTTGGAAAACGCGACAAGTTTTAATTAACATATCTACTTGTTAAGCATGTAATGAGGCAGTTCGTGACGATTAAATATAATTCACCGATACTAAATATATGATTGAGGTTTTTATTCATTGAATTCATTAATAAGGCGACTAGTTATATTAGATTAGATTTGAAAAGTTGTAAGTGAAAATTTATAGGATTTTCAAACTACATTATTTGCATGGAAGGCTGAGTAAAGTAAATCACTTTCTTGCCTAAGCCGGAAAAGGTATACTTTCCGAATGGTTGCAACAAACTGAAAAAGCCTAATTAGGTACTGCAACAAATTTCCAATTAAACTTCTTTACAAAATAGATACAGTTCAAGGTTGTTCAAGCTAGTTTACACGGCTTTACCCTGATTCATATTGATATAATTGATTATAACTATTAGCTATTAGTAAGTATAATGAGTCAAATAATTTATTACAAACAAAATTCCATATTGAACCAATAAGGCTATTTAAGAAAGCAAAACCGGCAAAACGTTCTATGGTTCACGCCTCGATTGTTTTTCTTCGTCAAGTCACGCTCAGGCTTGACCTACCTTAAAATTGCCGTGGCTTCAGCCTTCAGCAGTCACACACCAACAACTTTACATAATAAAGTGTTGTTTTGTTTGGGTTAGCTAATGCTCGACAATTCTGTTCAATCTTAATGATAGATTTTCAAATTTGGAAGAGATGAATAACTTGCTGGTTACATAATTAATTCCTTATTTGGGTCGCGTAGCGGGAAACTATCGTAGATATTACAAATAATTTTCGATGCTTTTGACAGGATTCTAAGATAAGATTCTTAGTAGGTACTTACGAATACCTCCCAAAAGTTGTCAAGTCATTATTATTGTGTTCTAATTCAAGATGTTTTTCATATTGGTCAAAAATTACATTTAGCATCAATTGAAGATCCCTAAATTTAGGAATTCCAATTTTAATTTTTAATCCCAGTGGTTGGTGGGGATCTTACCTAATCCCTGTATCGCTTATCTGTAGGTATTAAAAAGCAAACTATAAACGAATTATTATTATACAATAATACACTTAATCTTGATAGAAAAAACAATGAGATATTCATTATTTAGGAGTATAAAGCTAAAATTATTATGTTATTTTTTTGCAAGTAGTAAATTCATTTAAATACTCTCATGTTGCCCACCTACATGCCCCATCATGTTATTTGGATTTTCCAAATTTATCATGCCGGACACATTTTTAATTGATCTCTCACCTCGATAATTGTTAATACATAGAATTAATTAGTAAAATGTTATTTTTCCGGTACAAACACGTTCATTACTTACTTGTTGATTCTTACAAAAGTATTCTAAAGCTTCCGCAATACACGAATAATCAAAAACCGCTTTAACCATTATTAAAACAAACAAGTTATAAACTTATGGTATCAACGAATTCTCACTTATAACTACCGAAAAGCTTACTGTTGCACTAAAATTATCACTTTTCGAAAATATGTAACCTTATCTTATCTTTGTGCAAAATTATTACAAGTTGACGTCACAAGATTCTGGATGTTTGCAAAATAATCTCTCACAAGGAGAAATACATCAATTTCGATTATGTATATTGTTCAACAAAGATTTAGTTAGGTATCTCATGCTGGATTAGTGGAATCAATAAAATGATATAAACGATTTATATAATTATTAATTAGAAAAATGCAAAAATAACATTAAAATAGGTCATTATTGTAAGCACAAGGTAATGAAAAATCTGGAAACTGCAGAACCCATTCTAAAACACATGAGCTGTAACTTATGCTATAACAAAACAAAAAGATTCCATGAATGATTATTATTGGAACTGGAATCAAGTCCCTTATACTAACAAATTTTTATGCAAAAAGGTAGACTTACTTTTTCATGTTCACTGTAATAATCTAAAGTGGACATTTCTTCGGAGTCATCAAAAAATGGTTTCACCATTTTCAAGTTTGAAACTTAGTTGCACTTGATAATCTTTTGGTCCTCAAAAATTCATTATCTTATCGGTGAAAGGATAACCGAGAGCTTTCGAAATGACGAAAAATATAATGAGAATACGTAATTTATTGTTCTCAATGAAGTATCTGATATATGAATAAGAAATTATTATAACAATGGACTATCATAATTGAAACAAAGCAACCAAAAACACCCAAAAAAAAAAAACAAGTTTTACATAATTTTTCGCACGCGGCAATATGTTCTCAAACAAGTTTCGGAACTTAGCACACTTAATGCACCACTCCCGCCACCCGAAAGTTCCGAAGTGGAAAAGTTTGTATTTTTCCGAGAGAGCGGACCTTCTATCCTGAAGAGGGTACGATAATGTGTTGCCGGTTTTAGCCCCGTTTTTCCACCCCCGCATTTGCTGCAGCGTGCAACAGCGTCAATTCCAGAGACCCCGTTGCCCGGCAACGAGACGATCTTGTGACGTCACGGGAATCGGGGTGGCACATGAATGAACGGCACGTGGGTGGACCTTGTTGCCGCACGGGTCATAACAAAAGCTTTAGTCAATGAGAAATGAAAATGTTTATATGGATGTTTATACTTCAAAAAGAAAAGCTTTATGTTTGGTTGGAATTGAGGAGATTTTTATTCAATCAGAATATTTTCCTGGATAGAACAGTCAAAGTGAGAGCTTTAAGTGTAAAAATCCACTGCCATAACTTATGTAAGAAAACTGATTTTCAATTCAATTACTTCTAAAATCAAACTATAATAGTCCTGTGAAACCATATACATTTTGTTTTTTAAATGGGAATAAATCAGATCCAACAATCCACCAAGGTAGAAAGGAATTTCCAAATTCAAAATCGGTTCAATGACAAAAGGTTCATCTTTTATACACTATCTCACAATTTCCAATAATATTTTCAATTTGAGACGTTATTAACGTTAACTAGATTTGTCATGCGTTGCATCTTTGAAGAATTGATCTTCTGAATTCAGGATAATATCATCTGCAAAGGAGATTGAGTCTTCGTACATAATTTCCAAGTTCTTCCAATCTATCTCCCTCAAAATGTATTCGATTAGATGCAAACTATATTCACATAGTTTTGGCGATACGGTGTCACACAGCTTGGAACATTTAATGTTGGTCAATCATATCAAACCTCGTAGTTCACTGGATGTTTTTTTTGTTCTTGGAAGAAACCACTTCTTCTCTTCTTTTCTATTGAAATCTTGTATCTTGAGATTAATCGAGCATAATATTGTCGTTCTTCTGTGTTTGTAAGACATTTTCTGATTTTCTGCTTGTCCTTTATCGGAAGTGTCTTTTGTGTTCCTTGATAATCGTGATTATACTGCTTTCGGTTATTCCTACATTCACCGATCTTCAAATACATGAAAAACTATATACTGCTTATCGTCTTTAATGGTTCATTGTCTTTCATTGTGTTTCATCCTAGAGATGTCTGGATTCAAAAATTCGTCTTGCCCTGTTAGATACAGTTCAGATGATCCCTCGCCTTTGTTTAGGATCAGACCAGAGGATTAATCGTTAAGGTAGCTGTACTTATGAGTATAGGCTCTCGTTTAAACTTTAAACTTTATCTCAGTTTAAATGAAGACAATCTCTCCAAATGGAAGTCAAGGAAGGCTCATCATCATCATTTAGCCTTGGTTTGTCCACTGCTGGAAATAGGCCTTGCCGAGACATTTCAATTTTTTCCTGTCCTACGCGGTTGTTATCCAGTTGGTGCTAATCCTTGTTACGTCATCGGTCCATCTGATGTGCGGTCGACCTCGTTTTCGCTTATCTGCTCTTGGTCGCTATTCCAGGATTTTCTTGGATCTTGCTATATGCCGTGTCCATCTTCATTTTGCTGTTGTTATTCGCTCTAGAACATCATCAACCCCTGTTTTTTTACAAATGACGTCATTTCGTATTCTATTTCTGAGACTTATACCAAACATCGAGCGTTCCATTTGCTGATTTTTTGGTCAGGGTGAGGGTCTCCGCACTGTAAGTGAGCACAAGGAAGATAAATATGTTGAAAGCTTTTCGTTTCAGTGTAATTGGAACATAATTTTTGCAGACATCTCGAAGTCTGCCATATGCTGCCCATCCCAATTGGATTCTCCTCAGTAATTCTGCTGCTCTACCAATCCTTACTTCGTGACCTAGATATATGTAGCTTTATGCACCATAATTATCTATCTCTATTTAAAATTGATCTTCAGGACTAACTTTTGTGTAGTGTCTGTTAGTCCTTGGATCATAATATCAGCCTCCGGTAAGTTGTCGGAAATGGTCCGCGAATCTGAAGTGGCTAAGTCTTTCCCCATCAATATTAATACATCTGTTCTCCCATTCTAAGTTTTTAAAATCGTGTTCTGGGACGGTGATAAATAGTTTGAGCGACAGAGTGTCACCTTGTCTTACGTCTCTTTCCAATTTAATTTTTTGTGCAGGGGATTGTGAGTCAACCCCCTAAGACATGGCGCTCTCTATCTTATCATAAACTGTATTCTGGAGTCGATAGAGTTTGGATGCCGCAAAAATGTCTCTTCTTCTTCTTCCTTGCCATGATTCCAAACAAAGAAAGTGTCCTTTACATGTACGAACCAACAAGTAAAATACAAGTTATTCAAAGCTTTCCATAGAACTTGGTTACTAACTGGCTGAGTGGGTACTTTGGTGAACAAGGGCAGCTTAGTGGTAAAACTGAGCAAAATGCTGCATTGGGTTACTGATGCCTTAGTTCTAAACTGAGATTGAAAATGTCTATATTATAGACTCTTTTTTGTATTTTTCGATGTTATAAGCTCTATATCCGATATTTTTCTTCATATAGGGTCCTAAGAAATAACAGCTGTGTAGCTCTGGAGAGAGGTCGACAGGTGTGATAAAGTTTTTAG